GGTGCGGTGTGAGCACAGGGCTGGTGCGGTGCAAGCGCAGGGCAGGTGCAGTGTGAGCACAGGGCAGATGCAGTGCTTGCACAGCGCAGGTGCAGTGCTTGCACAGGGCAGGTACAGTGCGAGCACAAGGCCGGTGTGGTGCTTGCAGAGCCGCTGCGGTGCAAGCGCAGGGCAGGTGCAGAGCGAGCGCAGGGCTGTTGCAGCGCTGCACCACGGCACATGGGCTGTGAGGGTCCCATGGTGAGCACCTTGTGCACACCCTGCTCCTGCCTGTCCCAGCTCAGGACTCACATGGGTCCAGCCTCGCGGGGCCACCGGCTGGGAGGCAGGTCCTACCTGTGCAGGGTCCCCTGCCACCCAGGCTCCTTCCTTCGCTGCAGCAGTGCTGGCCTCGGGACGCTTGTTTGCAAGCTGCCACTGTGCCACATCATTACGAGGTGTTTGGGATATCAACAAATTAGCAGGCGCCTGGGAAGAGCGGGATGCGGCACCATTCGTAAATGTCAGCTCGCTGCCTCCTCATTTTGCAGATCATTAAACCCAATATTCCTAACCTGTATTAGTGCGACAGGGACAGGCCCCTCCGCTGTGGCAAGCACCAGGAGAGCTGCAGCGGGAGGGCTGCGATGGGGACCCCACGCCGCCTCCGTGGCAGCAGCCCTGGGCAGAGCAGCACGTTCCCGTCACCCACATCCCGCGTCCAGCCCGGCGGCACGGCGAGCTGCGGCAGCTCTGTGCAGGGACACGGTTGCGGATGTTCACAGGGACCACGGAGCTGGGCAGCAATGCGCACTGTGTGTGCACGTGTCAGGACTGGGAGCGCAGGACAACGCGCACCCGGGAGGAGGGAGCTCTGGGGGGACCCGGGGCCACGCTCTGCACTGCGAGGGTCCCGCAAGGGCTGGGGAGGAGCAGGGGCTGTGCATGGGGGGCAGGTTGTAGGGGTGCAGCATGGGGGAGCACTGTGGGGGTGGCAGGGGGTGCTCACCCGTCCATGGGGTCCTTCCTCCTGCCCGGATGGAGCAGTGCTTGGGGGCTGGCGAGCGAGCACGGCCGGGCAGCGCCAGACGAGGAGGTGGGCGGCTCTGGGATCCCCACCACGTGCTCCGCATGCTCCCAACAGCCCATATTAATCACACACAGTGCCCCAGCACAGCTCTTCCCTGGCCATCAATTTCCCGTGGGTTTTAAAGCTCAGGAAGGAAGCAGGGAGCGCGCTGCTGGGCCGCCGCGAGCAGCGCATTAAGGGGCTGTCAGCGCCGCGCCGGGCGCCTGGCATCACTCCTTGAGCACATGAGAAGTTCATTATCACTGCACTGGCAGCAGGGAGCAGGGAGCGTCGCGAAGGCATCGCGCCAGCCACGTCCGCCTGCCCCAGCCGAGCCCAGGGCACAGAGCGGCTGCGGCCGGGGCTCCGGCCATGCCAGGGACGGTTACGCTGTGCCGGGCGCTCCGCACGGGCGCATTGCTGGCCAGCAGTGCCGGCGCCGCCAGTGCAACGTCCCACGGGTGCTCTCGGCAGTTGCGCCGGCTCCGAGATGCTCCCCGCAGCCCTCGCTCGTGCAGTTTGCGGATGCTCCCCAGCAGCATCACGGCGCGCTCACGTTAGCATGCGACCATGTAAAAAAGCAACAGCTCGTTTGATTTATGGCACTTCAGAGCAACTAAGATTCAATTGCTCCGCACGTCCCTGCCTCTGATTACCTCCTAAATGAGATAAACTGATGGCAATTTATCCCCAGACCTCACCGCTTCCCTGGGATGCCAACCCGCTGCGCTGCACGGCGCCACCGGCGCGCACTCCCGGCTGGGCCGGCAGGACGGCTCCGCGCACGGCTGCTCCGTGCCCTGCCTGGAGCGGGAGGCGAGCAGGGCGGCGCGGGCACCGGGACACGCGCTGCCCCCGGTGTTGGCAGGAGCGCCCGGCCTGGGCGGCTGCTCCACACGTCATGTCACTGACAGCACCGACCCAGCCTCTGCCTTGGCAACCTGCTCACTTCTCCAGTACAGCAGGCTGCACTAAAAACAAACACAAGAAGGAGTTTTTGGAAAGCTGATGGCTTTAAAAACTCACCCCCCGCAGCGCGTGCGCGAAACACTGCGTGGGACCGCGCTGCTGCAGCGTGCAGGAGGCTCCACCGCCTGTGCCGGGCGGCTGCGATGCTTGGCCAGGGACTCTGCACCTACCTGCTTGGCGGCAAAGGACACCAGGACCTGGAAGGAGTGGCTCAAGCTGGAGACGCGAGGGACAACCATCCCAGTGATGACGGATGGTGACTGCCCTTGCTGGTGCCCCTCCTGCCCCCGCCAGGTAGCCCATAGCCAAGAACCTGCTCCTCTCTTACCCTGTCTGCAGCAGGGCAAGCTGGGACCACGTTCCCTCTCCGCAGAGGTGCCGTGGTCCTTGGGGAGCTCCTTCAGGAGCAGTGTGGGCAAGGGCTGCCAGTGACAGATGAAGTTTGGGAGTTGACACCTCACAGCAAAATGAAGCTCCGTGTTGATAAATGTGGAGTAATGCATATTGTAGGAAGAATTATATTACTCCGCCACCTGGCAGGGTTCCAGATTAACTCTATCATCCCGAGGAAGGCCCTGGCTGTCCTCACAGACAGCACCAGGCCCCTGCTCAGCAAAGCACCACAGACAATGATGGGGCAGGGAGCAACTGAGGATATTTGGATGCCTCACAGACAGCACGTGGCACCACGTGGATGCTGTGTGCAGCCTCCACCACTGCACCTGCCTTGTCAAACAGGGAAAGGGAGAAATGAAAGGCAATGTTTGAGAAAAAACCCTCTGAGACGACAAGAGAGCTGAGCTGGCTCCAGAGGCAGGCAAGGAGGAAGCTCTGCTGACTCTCCTGGTCATGTGCAGAGCCCAGGGGCTTCTGGCAGGGGCCAGAGCAAACGCGCCTTGCACAGAGGGAGCGCGTTTATCTTGGACACTTGGGCAGTGGTGAGCCCGCTCCCTCGCCTCACAAAACTGTTTCCATTTTTAATTACCTTCTCCGTAAGACTGTGCATTTAATTTTGTGCTGAATGGTCCTGCAGGACCAGGCTTCTTTTTCTGTAAATACTGATAGTACCATCTTTCACTTCTTAATCTCCATTTTGGTCAGTTTAGTACCTCAACATTCATTTCAAAAATGCGTCCATCAGCTCTGAATCGAACTGAGACCTTCTTCTGAACTCCCTCCAGTTTTTCCAGGCTCTCTACTAGTTACATGATGCTAGTACACACTCTCAGTCCCATGTGCAAATGCAAAAACGACCCAACTCTTTGGTATTGCTTTGTCCAGATGCATGAAGAACAGAGGTCTCTGTTAAAGCAGAGGACTGAGAACTCACTGCATCTATCAAGATCCACTGAGAGGAGATGTGGGAAGGGCAGTAACGTGCCCCAAGTGTCAACAAGCCGCCCTGCTCAGAACTCCAAGGATACCTGTTTAAGAAGATATAAGTGTAGTTACTACTTTCTGCTTTTTCTGAGGCATCTAGTGCGTATTACAGGCTCAAGTGATGCTCAAGATGCCTGAATCACCCACTGCAAAGGGGAAGTCTCTCCTAGAATCAGTGGTTTTCAGGTGAAGATCACCAGCAACAGGAAAGACCGAACAACAGCTGTCGAACTCCGGTGCAGATCATCACCATAATGACTGCAAGGGAAGGAAGATGAGCTGCTACCGCAAGAAAACCTGGTCCTCCTGCCTACAGGCTGCCCTGCCATTTGCAGCAAGATGCCAGGGCAGCTACGGCACGTTTTGTCGAGCACAGGTCAGATGGCCTCTTTGTGTTTTACAGGAGCCTTTGGCTTCAAGCCCTTGTACTCCACCTCTTCCCTGGTCTTTCTTTTAGTTTACTACAAAACCTTATTGACTGCTATGGGTCAGGATGACCTGGGGTTAAGTCAAATTCTTACAGACTGAGAGACTCCTTTCTCTGCAGAGGAGGCAACGCCTGTTCCTGCACCGGTTTGGATGAAGTTTGCTGGAACCACCAGCTTGGGGCACGTGACTGGTATGAGAATTTTACAGGGTGAAAGCTTGGCAAATCTACAAGCAAACAAAACCAGGTTCTAATGGTAGAAACTGTCTGGCAACCTTAACTCTGGTACGTTGTCAGCTCTGCTGATGCAGTTATTAATTATCATTGCTAAGAGTAGCTGCAGTCACAGGCACAATGGCAGTCCTGCTTCTGTCGCAGCCGAGAAACCAAGGGCAGATGGAAACGGGCCGACTGCTGTTCCCGATTGCGCCCAGGCTTGGAGCGGAGCTCGGGGTCCCGAGGACACCCCAGAGCCCAGGCTTGGACAGGAGCGCGGGGTCCCAGGGACACCCCGGAGCCCAGGCTTGGAGAGCAACTCGGGATCCCGGGGATGTCCCGGAGCCCAGGCTTGGAGAAGAGCTTGGGGTCCCGAGGACGTCCCGGAGCCCAGGCTTGGAGAAGAGCTTGGGGTCCCGAGGAAGTCCCGGAGTGGGGCTGCCGGCTCCGTCCGAGCTGCCCACTGGGGAGCAGACATTTCCTACCTTCTGCTGTGGTGCTGGGGCCGTCGGGCCGTGTTGTCCCGGTGCTCTTTTTCCTGCGATGTTTCTTCCTGTTTGCATGCGGAGACGGGGGTGGTTCCAGCTTTGGACTGGCAGTGTTGGAAATGTTCGGGCTGGAGCTGAGCGAATCGGCAGTGCCATTAGCTAGAAGCAAAGATAAAGAAATGAGTGTACACACGGGCTGTGAGAGCCTGCTCCTGCCACAGGAAACTAGGTGTCTTGGAGAAAGAGCAGTGCCCACCGGGCTGACCGCAACACAGCTAGGCTGGCACCACTGCATCGCACAGGGCGGCCTGACGGGAGAGCACTGCGTCACTGCATGGGACAGTCCGATGGTGACATGATCAGGATGGCACCGTTGCATTGCATGGGATGGCCCGATGGTGACACTGACAGGATGGCACTGCTGCATTGCATGGATGGCCCGACAGTGACACGGCCAGGATGGCACTGCTGCATTGCACAGGACAGCTTGACAGTGACACACATGGGATAGCACTGCTGCATTGCACGGATGGCCACATGGCTGGGACGGCACTGCTGCATTGCACCCAATGCACAACTCCACGCTGCTCGTCAGCACCGTCCTCGGCTCCGCGCGGAAGCAGGGCCTGGGGATGGCTCCCAGCCCCGTGTCCCCATCACAGGCGCATTCCCGCCCTCCCAGCCCGCGCTGCCGGCAAGGTGCCGGGGTTGCCGCACTTGGGAACCTGAGCATGATGGTCTCAATAGGCTTCCGATACAGCGCTGAAGAAGCTGCATCCCCAGCAGCAACGCACCAAATTTATCCTCAATCATACTGTTCCTTACAATTAATAGCAGAATTAGAAACAATCAGGGAGCTGCCTAATTACTGTCAATTAGAGCGCGCTAATCAAGCTCCGATCACACACACACACGCTGCCGCTGCACTCACCATTAAATGTCAAATTTCATTAGAGACCAGCAACAAAATCAAAAGCCTGACATTCAATTTCAGCAGCACACACAGCGCAGGCTTCCAATCAGCATAAAAATGCAGGCTCCGGGGAAGGCGCCGGGCGCGGGAGCCTCGCGCACTGTTAACCCTCTCCGAAATGCGCTCCTGCCTCCCGAGCATTCCCCATGTGCGGGACCTGGCAGCCACGCTGCCCCAGCAGCTCCATGCAATAACCCCGTGGCCCCAGCAGCACCGGCCTCTGCTTCCCGCTTCTCCAGCACCTGGGATTACGAAGGGAGTCACTGTGGGGTGCAAGGGCAGCAGCATTTCCAGGGCTGCCGGGGCCATGTTTCCCTGCCCTGCTCCCCATCCTGGGGACGCGCCGCGCTCCCGGCCGTGCTCAGACACACATGGAGCTGGGGACATCGCGGCTTGGCTGCAGCACTATGAACTGGAGCCTGCAGCTAGTGTCCAGCCAGGGCCGGCAGCGCATGCAGCATCGGGGCTTCTCCTCCTCCCGTCCTGCGGGATTTGACACACACTAGCCGGGCTTCTCTGCTGCATAACCACGGGAAGCAGTTCACAGCTGACAATTAGGAGACATAAACCTAGTAAAATCTGACTCCATTTTTATATATCAATTGCTAGCAGCCTCCAACAGGACCGCTCAGAGCAGGTGTGAGGAGCCACATGCCGCGTGGTGCCGCAGGGACCTGCACTTTCCCGGGCCTGCCCTGCCCTGCCCTGCTGCCCAGCTGCTCAGCGCCGCGTCCCCAGGCGAGCGGCTCCGGCGGCCGCGGCGCCGCGGGCCTCGCACCGCGCTTGGCTCCGGCTCCTGCACTCCCCAGCTCGCAGGCGCGAGGGGGACGGTGCTGCTGGGGCGAGGGGCACCGTGGGGCAGCCCCTCTCCAGGAGGGCACGCGCAGCTTGTCCTGGTAGCGACTCGGCTCCTCCCAGCACCAAGGTGGTGAGGTGCCCTCACCCGGCTGAGCGTATCCCAGTGCCCGTCTCGCGAAGCCGGGAGGAGGGATCCGTCCCGCAGTCTCCTGGCTCCTTCCTCCCGGTCGCTGCGGTAAGGGCAGCTCCCCAGTCTGCCCCGAACACAGACCGTGTGGGAGCAGCTTTGGACGCTGCGCAGCCGCCCGCTCCTCCCAGGCTACCAGGGGGACGGCGCATCCGCAGCGGCGGCAGCGCCAGCCCCACAGCTCCCTGCCGGGACAGGCACCCGGCTCGCGGCCCGGGACACCGGGGCCTTGGGTGCAGCCGCCGCGCGCGGCTGCCCGGCGCGGAGCGGGGCGGCTGGGCGCGCTCGGACCCACGGGCTTCGGGAGCGCGGCCGGGAGCGCGCGCCGCCGCGGGGGCAAGGGCTGCCGGCGCATTAATGCTCAGAGCTGCGCCCTCGCGCTCCCGTCGCCTGCGCTGCCCCATCAGCAGTAACAGTCTGATTAATTCGCTTCCAGCAGGGAGCTGATGGGGCCAATGATGGAGCCGCTGCATCAGGCGCGCTGAAATTGATAGTTTTTCACAGTTACAAATGAGGAGCCTCCTCAGCTGCAAATGGCGCCTGCACAGTCGGACTCCGGTAATGATCATAAAGAGGCTCTCTTTAAACTGCGAAAGCCCCTGGGAGCGAGCGGGGGGGCGGCTGCTGCGCTAATGAGAACTACAAGGGGCGAGCAGGCATGGAAATGGCTCCTCCACTCTTGATGTGCATTTAACTGCTTTTTTAGTGCGGCGGCAGAGCCAGGAACGAAGGAGTGATGAATGCAGCACAAAAGCATTTATTTTCCAATTCGGCAAAGTGGCTACGTTGGGAAATGTATGAATTATTTTAATTCACTCAACTGTCCTGAAACATCACGGCGAGCAAGCGAGCGAGCGCGGGGGGCGGGGGCGGGCCGCGGTCGGCGCGTGCTCCGGAGACAGGAATCGCTCCAGCCCCATCAGATGCTCCGGAGTCGGGGACGGGGGTTGATGCGGAGCCAAGACAGGGCAATGCTGGGGGGGATAGGGAGAGCCGGGGGCCGGCGGGAGAGCCCGGAGCACCCTCGGCCAAGGCAGCCGCTCCAGCGGCAGCGCTCCCGGTGCTCTTCCCTGCCAGCCCGGACACGCGGCTGCACCGCCGGGGAGGGTCGCGGCTGCGGAGCCGGGGTCGGGCAGCCTCCCCATCCCAGACACCCGGGGGAGCAGGGCCAGGGGGCGACTCACCAGGGTGGGGGCGACTCACCAGGATTGGGGCAGCCGCTCGGGACGGCCACAGCCTCGTTCCACTGGTCTGCGCTGGAGACGGAGTAGGAGCGCTGGTGCATGCCGTCCGGCTTGGAGCTGAAGCCCACCAGGTTGATGCCGCTGACGGAGCGCTCCGAGTGCAGCGAAGTGCTGCTGGTCGAGTGGGGGGCACCTGCGGGAGAGTTGTAAGTTAGTGCCTGTCGTGGCTCCAAGTGCGCGGAGTGAGCGGAGCATCCTGCTCCTGCTGCAACTGGCGCCAGGGCTGCACAGGCCACGGTGCCGCTGGGCTCGGCTCCCCAGCGCTGGCCTGTCCACGAGGGCCTGCCAAGCAGAGCAGCGTGAGGCACAGACACTGCGTGGCTGGGAATGCCGAGCAGGGCAGTGAATGATGCAGACACTGCATGACCAGCAGTGCCGAGCAGGGCAGCGTGAGGCACAGACACTGCGTGGCTGGGAATGCTGAGCAGGGCAGTGAGCGACACGGACACTGCATGACCAGCAGTGCCGAGCAGGGCAGCGTGAGGCACAGACACTGCACGGCTGGGAATGCCGAGCAGGGCAGTGAATGATGCAGACACTGCATGACCGGCAGTGCCGAGCAGGGCAGCGTGAGGCACAGACACTGCGTGGCTGGGAATGCCGAGCAGGGCAGTGAGCGACACGGACACTGCATGACAGGCAGTGCCGAGCAGGGCAGCGTGCAGCACAGATACTGTGTGGTGGGACCTGCAGGCAGGTCCAGCACCCAAAAGCCTTGGCTGCCTGGGGGGACCAGAACCTGCAAGGCCTGGGGCAGCTCTGGCTGGGCAGCCGTAGGGACACACAGTCCGGCACGGCCAGAGAGGCCGATCCCCACGGATCCGGGGGTGGATCACACACGTGTGCATGCTCACACACCCCAGTCAGCCTCCCCCAACACCACCCTGCTGCATCCTGGCCCAGCACCCCGGCAGCACTGGGGGCTGGAGCTCCTGGCTGCTCACAACCTACCCAACACCTGGAAAAACTCCAACCCTCCCCATAATCCATGCACTCATCTTCATTCTCATTCCTCATTCCTCACTCCTCTTGCAGGTCTCTGGCAAAAGCCACAACCCTGTTGAAGGCCCGAAGGTAGACGGGGGTTGAGCTGGGGAACGGGAAGGAAAAGCAGGAGCAGAGGGCTGGGATCTTGTCCACTGCCTCCCTTGGTCCGTAGAGCCCTGAGCTGCCACCCAGCAGCCTGGTGTCCAGGACAGGGAAGGTTTGGGGCGGTCCCCACCTGCCCCACGAGCTCTGCCCTGCGCCCTCCCTGTGGCACGTGGTGGCCACGCACCCGGGAAGAGCCTGGGAGAGCGCGGAGCAGAGCAGCCCCGATGCAGCCCGACGCAGCAGCCCCTGCACTGCGATTCCTGCGCTGCACCCAGGGCTGGGCGAGCTGCGGCCCTGCACCTGCTGCCATGGGGACATGCCAGGTTGGAGCTGCTCCACGGGGATTTGTTGGGTCAGCGCTGCTCCAAGGGGGTACGACAGGCCAGAGCTGCTCCTTGGGGATGTGGCAGTTCGGAGCGGCTCTGTGGGGATGCGGCTGGTGGGAGCTGATCCCAGGGATACGATGGGTCAGAGCTGCTCTGTGGCAGCACAGCCGCACGTGGCGCCAGCCCCTTCACTGCGGCTGCACCACAGGCCGGTCCAAAGGCTGACACGACTGCATCAGCAGCCTGTGCACAAACGGGCCGGGCCGCAGCATCCAGACATCTGCTCCAGCAGCTCCCCGTCGCTCTGCTCTGCCTGCACAGCTTGCCTGACCTGACCTTGCTGCGCAGAACCAGCCTCATTTGCTACAGCCTGAGCCCATGTGGTGCAGAGGGCAGCCCGACAGTCGGGGCTAATGTCCTGCTGCTGCACTGTGCACACTGCGCACACCATGCACACTGCACTGCACATACTGCACACACCGTGTACACTGTGCACATTGCACTGCACACACTGCACTGCACACACTGTGCACACCGCGCACACCATGCACGCTGGGCACACTGCTCACACCATGCACGCTGTGCACACTGTGCACACTGCTCACACCATGCACATTGAGCACACTGTGCACATCGAGCACACACTGGGCACATCAAGTATACCCCATGCACACTGCACACACCGGGCACACTGCGCACACTGCATACACCACACACACTGCACACCATGCACACCATGCACACTGCTCACACCGGGTACACACCAGGCACATCAGACACCCATGCACACCACAAGGCCACTGCCCAGTCCTGGCACCGCGGTGTCCCCCTGCTCCCACCAGGTCCCATCCTGTGCTGTCCAGCTCTGCCACGTCCCCTGACGTGGTGCTGGCCCCAGACCCGGCATTGTCAAGTCTCCTGCCCTGCTTAGTCCCTGCAGCCACGTCCCCTGCCCAGCACCAACACAACAAATGCCTAGCGCATCACCAGGTGCCCAGCACGGCCTTGTCCCCAGCCCCGGCCCCATGTCCCTGCGCGGCCGGCCCGGTTCTGGGGAGCACAGCAGAGCGCTGGGAGCCTGGCTGCTGCGCGGCCCCCCTTCCCCTGCTCAGCGCCACAGAAACACGTGTAAAACCATGACACTGACTTTGCCTCTAATTAGCCCTTAATTTACAAGACACACTCGGAAGGGTAATTAGCTGGCGCTCTGCTCCTGACTGCCGCATCCATCTCCCCTCGCTCCTGGCGGGAGGGAGCGGCTGCGTGGAAGCAGGGGTGATGCCACTCTCCTGGGATGGGGACGGGGTTGGGGACAGGCTGCCCATGCGCTCTGGTGGCTCCGATGCCCTGCACACGTGGCCCGGCTCCCGGCGTGTGCCCAGCCCTCAGGAGTGCCCAGCTCCATCAGCAGGGCTCAGGATGCCCAGCCCCAGTCCTGGGGCTGCCTGGTCACCGCATCCGCATGGATCCGCTCCCAGGTCACCCCACGGCCCAGCCAGGTCATCCCAGTGGGGCTGGAGCCCTCAGGAACAGCATCCCTGTGGATGCCACCACCACCGTCCACTGCTTCATGCATTGTCCCCTTCGGTTAGGGAAGAAAGTGAAGACTACAGGTAAGACACTGCCGTCCTCTCTGAGCCAAAGCCCAGGACGGACCTGAGCTCTCTGGCCTTGCTCAGCCCCAAGCCAAGCTCTTCCAATCACAATTTCCTCCAAATCTGCAAGGAGAGCTTCCCATGGACATGTATGATGCCAGCAGCAGGCCAGGCTTCGGGGATGCCTTTTGACGCAAAGCCCAATCGATCAGCCCGCAGCAAACACTTTCTAAGACTGGACCTGGCAGCACGACCAGGACGGCTCCGCACAGGGCAAGCAGAAACTGACCCACTGACACGTGGGTGCACACAGACCCGGGCAAGGGTGGGTTAACAGTGAGGGGCATCATCCCACGGCAAGGACATCATTTGCAGAGTCACTTGAGGACCTCTGGATAAATCTAATTTAACATTTTCAACTGTGATTTGGGCAAAACAGTGTGTGCCCTGGTGAGATTTCCTTGTGATATCAAGGTGGAAGCACTGCTGATACTAAGAGGATGAAGACATCATACAGGAACATACGGCTCTGGAAAGTGAATTAAAAAAAAGACAACAAAATTTTGCTAGTAGAGCACAAAGATGTGCTCTTGAACTAATGGGCTGGATTCAAAAAGCACTGGGGAAGCAACCTCTGGTTTGTGTGGGCTTTGGACCACACTGCCATGCCAAGAAGGTCTGTGCTGAGCAGGAGCTTCTCAGCTGCAAATCCCACAGAGGAAGAGATCTGCAGCCCACAGAGGAGGAGATCTGCAGTCACGCACCACAGCTGGACTGCACCAGCACAGCCCAAAAGCTGAATGCGACCCCAAACACACAAGAAGAGATTACGTCCTGCAGAACCGGGATGCACACACGCCTCCTGCACCAGTCACAGTGGCACCTCACCTGCAGCCTCATACACCCCGTCCCTAGATAAGTCAACTGAAAGGGAGCATGTGCCAGACAGCCAAGGCAGTGAATCCATCACTACCAGCCCTTCTAATGCAACCACACTCATCCTGCATCCCACTGTCCGAGCTAACACAGACTGCCTGCGACCATACCACCAAGCGAGCAGATCTGCTGAGATCTTTGAGACCAGCAGACACACAGAAACACGCACTGCTGCACTCAGGAAAGGAATGTGCCTGCTCTCCATGCAAGACTGCACCCTGATGAGGAAATCAAGCCCGCTCTGCTGCCCACATGCGGGGCCCTCGTGCAGGGAACGTCTGCCATGGCCAGGACATGGAAGAGAAGCTGCCAGGGGCTCGCAGGGATGCGCTGCACGCAGGGATGAGCTCCCTGCACCAGCAGGCACGGCACACACACCAGTGATCAGTCTGCTCCAGCCTCTTCGCTGCACCTGGCGCTGACAGCCAAGGACTGCTGCCACTCGCCCCCAAAAGGAGACAGGGTCACGAAGGCTCGTCCTGCCCTGACCAATGCACACAGCAGACTGCAACATAAAAACGTCCTCACGTCGTTAGACACCCTGCCTGCGGTAACTCGAAGGAGCAGCTCTCTCTTGCTGGATTTATTCACCGTTTAAGGGTGATCAGCAGGACACCAGGTCAGATGGTGGGGAAATCCTGCCCAATCTGTGCTCCATCACAGCAGTTACCTGGCCTCAACCAGGATGGCCTGACTGCAGCGGAGCAAGGCACAAGTGAGGCTGGTAGAGGAGACGCTTTGAAAAGCTTGCTGCTACAGCAAAATCTGAAGGCCAACACTAAGGATGCACCACTGCTGTGTAGAGCTAGTCTCAGCCTTGGTGTCCTCCAAGGCTGTGTTCTGGCACAGCTCTATCAGTCATCAATGAGTCTCCAAAGCCTGCACAGTCACACAAGCAAGGCTGCCACGCAGGGCTCCAGAGCCACTGGACGGCACGTGCAGCGGGCTGCACGGACGCCCTCCTGCAGCTCCTGGAGACCAACGGTGCTTGAGGCAGTGACAGCCGGCGGCCTCGTTGCGCTGCAAAACCCCTGCGGTAAAGACGTGGGTCACCCCTCCTCTGCAATGGGCTGCCGTGAGCACGGGAATGCGGCTGTCCTGGGAGCCCCTGCAGCTGCTCTGAACGCTGCGGCCCCACCAAGCGCAGGGCCAGACGCTGGGGTCTGCTTTGTGAGTAAGTGTTT